AGGATGCTCTTACGGCAGTCTTAGCTTCTGGATTGGTGGGAGCTGGTGGTCCACTGAGGTCATAGATTCCATGTTAGTTCCAACACAGGCGTGATCCAGGAATGGCTGGAACCCTAGATAAGGTAACTAGCCTGTTGAACCCAAGACATTCCAGTCTCTCATTTCAGAAGTTTTCCTTCGTTATTATCGCTCACTGTCAGGATGACTTGTGTGTTTGATGAGCTGGATGGCGTTTCCTTGCTGGACTTGTTAGTGGTCTTAGCTCCTCATCTCCTGGTGTGATGTCTTTTACCCCCTCCACAGGATGACCCCAGATATTCAAACATACCACGTGAACTGCGAGCGAATCTACCATAGCTGTTGGGCTGGCAAGTTTTCTGTTAGCTTGACACAAGCTAGGGTCATCTGTGAGGAGGGAGCCTCATTTGGGAAAAAAGCCTCCAGAATTTCAGGCTGTAGGCAAGCTTGTTGGGCATTTTCTTAATTAGATTACTTTGATGTGGAAGAGCCTAGTCCACTGTGGGTGGGGCCATCCCTGGGCAGGTGGTCCTGGGCTCTTTAGAGAAAGCAGGCAGAGCAAGCCAGTAAGCAGCACCCTCCATGGCCCCTACATCAGCTCCTGCCCCCAGGATCCTGCCCTGGTTGAGTTCCTGTCCTGACTCCTTCCGTGATGAAGAGTGATGTGGAAGTGTAAGCCTAACAAACCCTTTCCTCCCCGAGTCGCTTTGGTCATGGTGTTCGTCACAGCAACAGTGACCCTAATCCTGGTTCCTCCTCCAGTGTGATCTGTGTGTGCCTTCTCAGAGCTGTTTCAGGTCTTCTACTCTTCCTGTCTGTCCAGGTTTCAGAGCAGTGGGCTGGGACAAAGGTCTCTTTCATTCTGTAGTTTTGTAATCGACTCTTTCTGTTCTAGGAAGTTTCCTTATTCTTCTGTTCCCTTTCCTTCAGCCAGGTGTTGGCCTTCCCAGGTGAGCCTTCTCTAAGCTTCGCCTTCCCTCCCTTCTCCTTTACGTGTCTTTTCAAAGGTGTGTGTGTGTGTGCGCATGTATGCATGTGTGTATGTGTGTGCGCGCGTGTGTGCATGCGTGTATGCATGTGTGTGCGTGTTTGTGTGTGTGTGCACTCGCGTGCGTATATGTGTGTGTGCGTGTATTCATGTGTGTGTGCCTGTGTGTATGCATATGTGTGTGCATGTATGCATGTGTGTGCGTGTATGCATGTGTATGCATGTGTTTAAGGAGCTGTGGGCTGCGTTCCTGCCACCCCAGCTCCCGGCTGCCTCGCTAGCTTATGCCCCAAAATAACAACACACAAATTGTATTCATTTAAACACTGCCTGGCCCATTTGCTCTAGCTTCTTACTGGCTAATTCTTACATCTTGATTACCCATTTCTATTAATGTGTGTAGCACCCCAAGGTGCGCTTACCAGGAAGATTCTAGCCTACGTCCATCCTGGGTCGGAGCTTCATCGCATCTGGCTCTGAGAGGAGCTGCAGGATTTCTGAGCTCACTTCCTCTTCCTCCCAGCATTCTGTTCTGTTTACTCCGCCTATCTAAATTCTGCCCTATCAGATGGGCCAAGGCAGTTTCTTTATTAGCCAATGACCTTCCTCCATCATGCATGTATGCGTGTGTGTGCGTGTGTGCAAGCGTGTGTTTGTGTGTGAGCACGTGTGTGTATGTGTGTGTGTGTGCACATGCACGCGCGTGGAGGGCACTGCACACATGTTGAGGTCAGAGCACAACTTTCAGGAATCTGTTCTCTCCCTCCACCGTGTGGACTCAGGGATTAAACTCAGGTCTTCAGGCTTTGGAGCAAGCGCCTTTACTCACTGAGCCATCTTGCTGAGCCCTCCCTTGCATTTCCGCCTTTTCCCTCGGAGTGTCATTAGGTTCTTCCCTTGACTTTGTTTCCTCCATGATGCCATGAGTAATTTCCTAGTGCTCACTGTTTCTCTGCATATTCTTTCTGGTCCTTAATATCTATTTTTTCTTCCTTTTTTTTTCTCTTGTACATGTGTGTGATGTGCATGTGTCAGGGTTTGTGTAAATGTGTGTGTGCAGGCATGTGGGGGCCCAAGGCTGATGGTGGACTCATCCTTGATTGCTCTCCTACCCCATCGGTTGAGGCAGGGTCTTGGAATCAAGCCCACAGCCTGTTCGTGTGGCTAGTCTTGCTACCCAGCTTGCTCTGAGGGGTCCCCGATCTCCACATCCTTGGGGTAGAATCCCAGGTGGGCTACCACGCCACCCAGCATTTATGTGGGGCTGTGGGGGTCTTCCAGTCCCCGTACTCAGACTGCAGCTGTTTTAACTGCTGAGCTGTTTTTCCAGTCCCCCTTTATATTTTTACTTGGATTTTATGCATGTTGGTGTTTGCCTGCATGTGTGTCTATGCATCATGTGTGTGCCTGGTGCCCAGGCAAAGAACCGGAAGAGCGATTCAGATCCCCTGGAAGTGGAGTTTAAAAAAGTTGTGAACCATCATGTGGGTGCTGGGAATTGAACCTGGGTTCTTAGCGAGGTGAATGCCTTTAACTGCTGAGTCATATATCCAGCCGTCATCTTCTTTTATTGGAGACAAAAATCTTACTATTTAGTCCAGATCCCAAACTTGAGATCCTCCTGCCTCAGGTTGCCCATTTCTGGGATTGCAGGTGTGTGCCACCACACCTGGAGCCCAGGATGCCTGCCCCACTTGTAGGACAAGCTGTTTACCTGTGCCAGTCTGGGGGGTCAGTAGCACACTCCCTGCACCTCACCTTAGGGAAACCAAAATTATCATGTGTCTCAGGTAAGTAAAGTCATACCCCACCCATGACAACCAAAGACTCTTTCCAGAAACTGTCAGATTTCCTTCTGCAGAGCAGAGACAGAAGCCCCTCATCACCTTCCCTGAGAACCACGGCTCTAGAGTGGTGGTCACCAGTAACAGCCACAGGCCCCCTGTCTCATTTATAACTTCAGAGAAGGCTGGATCCACAGCCATTCCTGATTCCGTGCTGAACACGGGTCTGCTTGGCCGTTTTGCCCCTAGTGAGGTGGGTAGCATCTTTCTGTGCTCCTTGGGCTTAACAGGGTTTGCCACAGTCCCTTCCTTCTCTGCCTCTGCTATCCAGATGCCACATCTCTGAATAAGACTGTCTGTCCTGCTGGCTTATGATTCTCAGCACTGTCCCCGGGCACTGTCTGGAACACGGAGGCAACTCCAGTAATTTTTCCTGTTGAATAAGTGATCATGGCTTGTCAGTGGCAGAGCTTGGATGCAAATCCAGGCCCACCCTGTGCTGCAGGCTGCATTCTGACTGCTGGGCTCTCCCAGGTCTCATGCAGGGTGGCATGGTCACCTTGCTTGGAAGGGCCTCATGTGGCTTCCTCCCAGAGAGGAGGGAGGCTGTGGGAAAGGGCATGCACCGAGAGAGATAGGTGAGTTCCCGGTACAGGAAGTTCAGGATATGGCCATGCCATGTCTTGGAGTTTCTTTGAGACGGGCCAGGTAGTTCTGGGGAGATGGCAAGGAGAGGAAATTGCTCTCTGAGAAGGATGACGGTCTCAGCGGAGGCTGACTCAGCTCAGAAAGTCACCTGTCTGCAGGGCGGTTCCCTGCAACCTTGCTCAGGGCAGTTTGGGAAGTGGGCAGTTATGTGGCCCTGTCCTAGGGTTCCCAACTGGGTCCAGCAGAAGGTCTGAGGGCTCTGGATGGGGGACCCTGGATGTTGAGGCTGAGGTGGGAAAGGAGGGCTGGCAAGGATTTGACATGGCCTCAGTCTTGATTGCTAGTGGAGTAAGAGGGGGCCACCCTCTGCACTCTCCCCCATCATGACAGCTGGTTTGGGCCCTAGGAGGTGGGATTCCAGGGAGCCTCTTTTCACAGAGCTGAGTTCAGCTCAGGGGTCCAAGTGCCACATGTACAAACAAGAGGTTGTGAGGCATACAGAAAATTCTGGGTGTCTGAACTTGGGGAGTCACCATATCTCTGCATCCCATTTCCCAATCCAGGTTGGAGTATTCCATGTGGTGGGCTGGTGAGGGCCAGGATCCCTGGCCACAGGTACATGTTGGGGCCTTGGGTCTTAGACTAGAAATTCCACTTTGTCTGCCAGCTGCCTGGGCAGGGCTTCCTCCTTCCGGGCCCAGCAGGTGTGGCTGGGAGGGTAGGGCTGTGTCCTGGGACTCAGGATGCGAAGGAAGAGGGAGGGAGAGAGAAGCAGGGAGAGACCCTGGGAAAGAGGCTGGGAAGCTGGGGGATGTTCTGAGAGATGCTGGTGGTCCTGCTAGGGAAGCCCCTCAAGGAAGTGACTCTGGATGCTGGTGGGAAGAGGCACTCACATCTACCGAGCAGGGGTGGTGTGGCCTGAGAGCTGAAAACAATTTCAGTCACCCAAGAAGCTCCCGAACAGAAAGATCATTGTATTCATTTTTCCCTTTCTTTCCTTTGTTTCTTCCCTTCCTTCCTCCCCCACTCCCCATGTGTGTATGTGTGTGGTCTCTGGCTGGCCTGGAACTTGGCCGTTTCGACCAGGATAGCCTCGAATTTACAGAGATCCACCTGCCTCTGCCTCCCGAGTGCTGGGATTAAAGGTGTGCTCCACCATGCCCGGCCGTATTTGTTTTTCTACAGAGGGGAATCCTGAGACTCAGAGAGGCCAAGAGACCTACCAGAGTCAGGTGACTGTCACAGCCAAGATTCCAGCCTGTGTCTGAGGGACTCTAAAGTCCAGGTTCAGCACCCCTACCCCCAGCAACAGGCAGCCAGATCCTTTCCATTGGCCACTATTCCTACACAGTCATGGCTGGAAGGTGCTGGGAACCGGCAGGACTGGGAGAAATCCAGACTTCTGTTCCTTTGGTCCTCAAGAATTCTGACCTATAGCAGGTAGATAACGGTGCATGCCTCTAATCCCAGCACTGGGGAAGCAAGGGAGATCTGTTTAGTGAAATCTAAGACCCTGCCTCAAAACAAAACAAAATAAACCAAAAACCTCACCTCTGAGGGTTACCCAGAAGGAGAAGAGTAATGTCCACAGGCTTTGCTAGTTTAATTAGAAAGGAAGACGGCCAAAGTCACGTGATCTAACCATAAAACCCTTTATGAAACCTCGCCATCTCGCCTCTGATGTTCCCGGCATTGGCGTGGTACTGAGGAGTTTAGAAAATAATTGACCAAGGCACTTGGGGAAGGGGCCGAAACCTTGCAGGCTTCTGCCGTGGCAGGCAAGCTGTTCCCCTGCCAGCGTCAGCGACCCCAGCCTCAGCAGCCCCAGCCTCAGCGGCCCCAGCCCTCCAGCACCATCACCCCCTGTTGCTGGGGTAACAGCCAACTTCCAGGCTGCTAAGGGGTCCCTCCAAGTACAATGAGAAACTGGCATTTTTCCAGCTATTACTGCCCACTGCTGTCTCCACATTGGGCTAAATCTGCTCCTCATACCGTGGGACACTCCTTAGTCTAGAAGCTTGGGTCAGTGGAGGCTCGGGGAGGCAGGAGGTGAGGGCTTTCTGAGGCTAGCTTGGTGCAACTCTGCCACATCAGACCACAGAAGTGAGTCACACCAAGCCCTGCCCCACGGTCCTCACAGTCTGCAGAGGAGAGTTAAACTTGTGCTCGTGGGCCGAGTGTGGTCTGTGCCCTGTCAGAGGCATGTGGTTCCCTAGGAGAAACCTGGATTTCCAGGGATCCTGAAGGCTGAGGGCTGTGGTGACTGAATCAGAAAGACAGATCAAGCTGGAGGAGCAGCCTGGGCAAGGGCCCAGAAGAGGAAAGTGTGGGGGGTTGGTGGCAAGCGCCTTTGCCTGCTGAGCCACCTTGCTGACCCCAGGGTTGCACTCTTGAGTGCTGGGAGGTTCAGCTGGAGCTGTAGGTCAGATGAAATGGGGAACCGGTGGTGACTAGTCTAGATGGTGCAGGACAGAGGAGATGGGGCAGAAGGCAAGAGGCAGGTACCAGGTGTGTGGGAAGAACAGCCTCCAGCCAGCACCAGGACCTGTGGCTCCTCCCCAGGAAGGTCACTTGGGGTCACTCAGCAGGAAGAAGAAGAGCTGGGAACTGGACCAGGATTTTTTTTTTTAATTGAGAAAAAGATGTGAGGTTATTTTATTCCTTTCTTAGTAACAGGTATCAGGGTGGGGAGAACAAAATGGGGTGCTGGGAATCACCCTCTGTGGGGAGGCTCAAGCTTCCCAGCATCCCTTGTCCCTCCCCGCTTTGGGCACTTGGTGTGGACTTGAGAGGGCAGAGGCAGGGTGTGATTGACAAAGCTGCTGGAAGACAAAAGGCACTATTTTGGGCCCGAGGGAGAGAAGCCTCCTTCAGGAATCAGGTAAGGCCAGAGGCTCTCCAGTGACCTGACATTGGTCCTTTCCCTTTCTTGGCTTTGATCTTCAACTTGTTAGCTTTTAAACCCTTGGCAGTTTCCTGCTTGTCTGTAATGCATCCATTACCATGTTGGCCCCCTCCCCCATTACCTCCTCTCACTCCCAGCCCTGCTCTTCCCCTTCCCTCATTAGATGGAGGTCATTTGAGATGCCATGAAAGGGTCTGTGTCCCCTGCAGCCAGCCAGCCACCTCTGGTGCTCTCAGTGTCCTCTTTGTCCTGCAGAACTAAGGAGAGCATGTACCACTCACTGACGTATGCCACCATCCTGGAGATGCAGGCCATGATGACCTTCGACCCCCAGGACATCCTGCTTGCTGGCAACATGATGAAGGAAGCACAGTCGCTGTGTCAGAGGTGGGAGCCGTGGGGGCAGGGGTAGGGTAGTGAGGCCCACCGCACTGTCTCCTTTCTACCCACGGGCCTGGTGTGGGATAGGGTAGCGAGGCCCACCCCACCGTCTCCTTCCTGCCAACGGGCGTGGTGCAGGATAGGGTAGCGAGGCCCACCCCAGCGTCTCCTTCCTGCCCACGGGCCTGGTGTGGGATAGGGTGGCGAGGCCCACCCCACCGTCTCCTTCCTGCCCACGGGCGTGGTGCAGGATAGGGTAGCGAGGCCCACCCCAGCGTCTCCTTCCTGCCCACGGGCCTGGTGTGGGATAGGGTGGCGAGGCCCACCCCACCGTCTCCTTCCTGCCCACGGGCCTGGCGTGTCGGCTAAGTGCTGCTGCTGCTACCGCCGAGGACGTGTGTCCTCCAGTGCCGAGAGCTGGCCCTGTTGGCATGGCTGTAGAGCCTTGTCGGAGGCAATCGCTGGGGAGTAAATGGATTCTGTCTACCACTTTTTCACTCTGTCTTGGTCAGGCCCCTCTCAGAACTCAACTTACTTCATTTATAAAAGGGGCGTGATGACGTATGTGTCACCGGGGTTGCCCTGGTGACCTGGTGGCAGGGCCTGCTGTTTAGCCCACAGTCTCTGAGTGAACTAACTGGCCCGGAGTGCATCGGTGGGGTCACTGGCCACTGGGGCACACACTCGCCTCTGTGTGGGCCCAGACCCTCGTGATCCAGGAAATCTTTAGGCCTGGACTAGGGCTTCGGCTTGTGACTCAGTTGGTAGAGCTCCTGTCTAGCATATGGGGTGCTCTGAGTTTGGACCTCAGCAGGGTGAAGAAGGGAGGAAGGATCCCAGCAAGTCCGCCCTGGATTGGGAGAGCTGTGGACCGGAGACTGGAGGGGCCGGTGGGAGGTGCCTACAAGCCTTCAAGTATTTGAAAGCCTAGCAAAGGGTGTCTATGTAAAGACAAGTAGGACCTAGGCCGGCCCCTCTTTGAACCTCAGGAATCACCGGAGCCCCTTTTCCTTCTCCAGGCATCGGAGGAAGTCTTCTGTGTCGGACTCTTTCAGCAACCTGGTACACCGTCCCACCATGGACCAGTTCACAGAAGGTGGGGCTTTGGAGATGCCTTTCCAAGCATGGGCTCTGATGGCCCAGAGAGGGGAGGGCAGTATGGAGGGGAGGGGAAGGTAGAGGGGAGGAGAGAAAAGTTCTTCATTCACGTGTCCCCATGGAGGCTAAGCTATGGCCTGGGGCCTTTGGTGGAAGGGATAGAACAGGAGAAGCCCAGACCCCCAACAACATTATCAGCTAAGCACCTGGAAGCCTGAAAAATGTGGCTGTACTCCTCAGGCCCGGGACTGTGTAGAAAAAGCCTCTGGGACTTCATGTGCCCCAGAGGGAACATGGCTTTGCTTGAGCCTCCTGCCTTTGCTTTTTTCCTTCAGAGGAGATCCACGCGGAGGTCTGCTATGCGGAGTGCCTGCTGCAGAGAGCGGCCCTGACCTTCCTGCAGGTAAGGAAGCTCCCTCATCCCAGCCCACACCAGAGATGTGCAGAGAGCCTTGGAATTTTGGGTCAGTCCAGGAGTTCAAGCAAGACTTGCCTCCTCAGAGGTGGCAAGGCCTGAGGCTCAGCAACCCAACCCTGGGCAAGGTGGATGAGGAGGGCAGGTGTTTCCTCCTCCCCCACCCCATGTTCTCACAGCGGTGCTGCTGCTTTCTGGTCACTGCTGCTGCTCCTGTCAAGAGTCACGTGGACACAGGCATTGCCACAGAGCTGCTTTGCTTGATTTATACAACAAATACTTGTAGCAAATGATATAGTGGGCTTCTGCGGGTCTATAGATCTGTCATTTTGCCTGTGCGTGTGGTGTGTGTTCATGGAGGGCAGAGGTTATCAGGTGTTTTCCTCTCACTCTCCACCTTTTAACATATTTCGTGCACGTGTGTATGTGTGCGTGTGTGTGCACGTGTGCGCATGCATGTGTGTGTGAGTGTGTGTCTGTGTGTATACATGTGTGCCTGTGACAGGGAGGGGGAAAGCATGCCATAGATGTGTGGAGGCCAGAGGAGAACTTTCTGGGAATTGGTTCTCTCCTACTTTGTTTTTGAGGCAGAGGCTCTCCTTATTTCTGCTGCTGAGCTGTGTACTCCAGGCTTGCTGACCTCAAAGCTTACAGATGATTCTCAGTCTCTGCCTCCGTTCTTTGGTAGGGATTGTGATGCACTCCGCTGCATCTGGCTTGGCACATGGGCTCCAAGGATCAAATTCTGTCCGTAGGCTTGTGTGTCTCCCAAGTCCCTGGAGATGCCCTGTTTGCAGAACTCCCATAGCCCGAGGTCCTCTCTGATGTGTTTACACTTGTTACTGAAGCCCTCACAGAACCCAAAGCAGTCTTAGAGGGGAGGTCTCTTCTTCCTAAGGTCACAGGATTAGCAAATAGAGAACTGGAATTTGAATTTGCGTCTGGCCAAGTTCCTACGCAGCGGGAATTATGCACATTGTTACTGCACATGCATGTGTGTGTGTTTGGTGTGTGTGTGTGTGCGCACGCATGTGTGTGTGCATGTGTTGGAGGAGGGTAAATGCATTTTAGTGTTGGGTGCTGTTTATTTTCTTTAGCTTGTTTTTGTTGTTGTTGTTTTCTTATTCTTTTTAGACAGGGTCTCATTATACAACTCTAACTGATCTGGAGCTCACTCTGTAGACTAAACCGGCCTTGAACTCACAGCAATCCAGCTGCCTCTGCCTTCCAAGTGCTATGGTGGAAGGCATGTACCACCATGCCTTGGCTTCATTAGCTCTTTTTAATTTTAAAAAATATTATTGTATTTTTTGTGTGTGGGTGTCTTGCCTGCATGCATGTCTTGTGTATTATATGCTTGCCTGGTGCCCTCAAAGACCAGAAGAGGGCATTTGGATTCTCTAGAGCTGAAGTTAAAGACAGTTGTGAACCACCATGTGGGTCTGGGAATTGAACCTAGGCCCTCTGGAAGGACAGCCAATGAACCAGTGTATCACTCCATATAATATTACTTGTATGTATGTTTTCTTTTCTTTTTTCCCTTCCTTCCTGAGATGGAGTTTCTCTGTGTAGCCCTGGCTGTTCTGGAACTTGCTCTGGAGACTATGCTAGCCCCGAGCTCAGAGATACCTCTGCCTCTGCCTCTCAAGTGCTGGGATTAAAGGTGCGCACCACCCCCTGGCTAGCTCTTTTTTAAAAATTATAATTTAATTACAACATTTTCCCCTTCCCTTTCTTCTCAACCCTCTCATATATACCTCTCCTTCAAATTTTTCACTAATTGCTATTGCATGCAATAAATGTATGTATATACGATACATATGCATATACAAATGTTCCTAGCTATAACTTGTTTAGTCTGTATACTGTTACTTGTGTGTCTGTGTTTCCAGGGCTGAGTTGGCACTGGACAACCAATGCTGTGCTCTTTCCTGGAGAAGACCACCCCGCCCACTCCCAAATTTCCTCAGTTGCCAGTAGTTCTGTGTGTAGGTTGAGGCCTCACGGACTGTCCCCTGACCACTTTGGCGTGTCCATTGGTGTCATCCTTGGTCAACTCACTGTTGGGTAGCCATGGTGATGAGACTTTAGGGAATGGCTTCAGACATCCTAGGAGACACAGTCTCAGCCAACTCCCTGACCCTCTGGCTCTTACAATCTTTGTCCCCCTCTTTCCAAGGTTCCCTGAGCCTTAGGTGTGGGAGTGTTCTGTAGATGTAGCCAATGGGACTGGGTGCCACCATTCTGTGTTTTGGTTGGTTGGGGTTTTCTGTAATGGTCTCCATCTGTTGCAAAACGCTGCCTTGATGAGGGGTGAAGACTACACATCTGTGGGTATAGAGACAGATGTTTCTAGTTGTTGTCAGGGATTAGGCTGGTTTAGTAAGTCAGTGGGTCTGGCTTCTCCTGCCATACTTAGGGCTTTAATGGCACTCGTAGCTGGCTGGGTTTCCAATAATAGGCGTGCTGTCCCTTTTACTGAGTGGGTCTTCAGTCCAATCATGGAGCTATTGGTTACTGCCAAGGTATGCATGCCGTTAGTGTGCCTCAGGCTTATCATGCCGTGCCGTGTCACTGCTGCGGATCTCGTTGTCATGGCAGGTGTTGGGACTAATGAGTCCTGGCCTTCAGCTGCTCTCCCCTCCTAGAACCTTCTAATAGAAGTTACTAGAAGCTGTGCCTAGTTAGAGAGGATCAGAGGGTGAGATTATCACCTGTTGACCATTGACTGCAGTGTATTTAAGCCTCCATGGTGCTATTAAAGAAGGGCTTTTGGTATCAGTGTTAAAAGGTCTGCGTGTCAGTCTGTCTCTATGTCTGTGTTCTCAACCTCCAGCCCCTTGCCCGAAGCTCGCGAACTGGGTTCTAGCGCACAGAGCGCAGACACGGGGACGCGGTGCGCGGCAGGCAGGTATCCTTAGGTTTTAAAATCTTTTTGGCTCTCAGATGACGGAGTTGAACGGTTCCTAATCACTAGGACAAGAATGGCATTTTATCTTATTTGGATTTTATTATATATTATTATCACACACATACCCTGATTCTGCTGGAGGCTGAGCCTACATAGCAAGACTCATCCCTCCACCCCTGACACTGTCTCAGCCTCCTTCCCGCAGAAGCTATCACTTTCCTCATCGACCCTGCACTGGTGATCCCGTTTTGTGTCTAAACAGCATATTGTTGCTTTGGCTGCTCTGGTGTCACAGGGGCTTCCAGGTGTGTGGAGCGTGGGTTCTCCATCTTTGAGTGACTGGATAATGTCTCTTATGTAAACATGCCTTGGTTTACCTAGCTTCCATGGTGAGCCTTGGTTGCATTTGGTTTTGGTTTCCTGGACACTGATGCTGTGGACATTCCAGATAATGCCTTTTAGCCCGCGTCCCTTCATTCTGAGGGGACACCCAGGACTGGGGCACCAGACAGGCTAGGGATTGCTGGGACTTTAAATAATTCTTTACAGTAATTACCTTTGACGTTCCAAAAATGAGCAACCTTCCTTATCTGGCATGGTCCTTCTACCCAGAGGGGCACGCAGTTGACTGTGTGTGTGTGTGTGTGTGTGTGTGTGTGTGTGTGGTGTCTGTCTGTCTGTCTGAGAAGGGAGGTTGTGGCGGCCTGCTCTGGGTGACCGCTGACCACTCCCGCTTCATCTGTCATATGTCTGGGAACAGGGTGGAAGGCTGTCAAGGCCCACAGCCGTGTGTGACCCTGCAGCCTACAGTTACCTGCCTTGGACTCAGTTCTCTTCGTCTCTCCCCACCACAGGACGAGAACATGGTGAGCTTCATCAAGGGTGGCATCAAAGTTCGAAACAGCTACCAGACCTACAAGTAAGTGGGTCCAGCCTGGGGCCAAGGACTCTATTACCCGTCCCCTCAGACTGCATTGTGGGAGGCCCAAAGTCTAGAAAACTGAGAACTCAGATTTCTGTACCTCCCCGGAATCTCCATTTTCTGGAACAATGTTCTCCTGGTTTTCTGGCTATACTTGTGTGTTTGGCTTCTTGAATGTCTTGTCTGCTGGGGAAGAAACTGACCCAGGGTCTGCACAAACAGCCTGTGCTGGTGGGCAGGGGGCAGATGGACAGAGGACTTTAAGGAACAGCAGCTTTTTTTTTTTCAAGACAAGGTTTCTCTGTAGCTTTGGAGCCTGTCCTAGAACTAGCTCTTGTAGACCAGGCTGGCCTCGAACTCACAGAGATCCGCCTGCCTCTGCCTCCTGAGTGCTGGGATTAAAGGCACACGCCACCACCGCCCGGTTTCTTCCTTGACCTTTTTTTTTTTTTAACATACAGGAATGGCATGTGTGTGTACAGACATAGACACACATACACATAGAGGCATGCTCCCTGTCTTAGGGGTTCTGTTGCTGTGAAGAGACACCATGACCATGGCAACTCTTTATAAAGGAAAACATTTAATTGGAGTAGCTTACATTTTCAGAGGTTTAGTTCAGTATCATCATGGTGTGACGTGGTGGTCCTACATTTTGACCTGGAGGCAACAGGAAGTGGGTGTGGCTTGAGCATATGTGAGACCTCAAAGCTCCTCCCACAATGACACACTTCCTACAACAAGGCCATACCTACTCTGTCAACAAAGCCACACCTTCTAATAGTTCCTTTTGTGCCAGAATCATTTCCACACTATGTCTGGGTCCCTGACAAAAGTTCTCTGGGCCGGGGACAGCTGTACTAATGGCTAAAAGCCTGAAGATTTAGTCCGGAGCCTTTTTACCGAGTGTGGTGCTGCCGTCCCTTATCTACAAGTCGGAAATCAGATAAAGCTCTGAGAACCCCGCCCTCCCTCCCCTGAGTTATATGTTAGAACTTATTTCCCATTACACTTTTGAGAACACTTGCTGTCTTTTCTCCCTGACCAGGGTGACTGTTTCCTGCACAGGACACCTAAAGGCCTGTGCTAGATTATTCAGGGACAGCTAGACAAGTGCTTCAGTCCCCCCAATGTCCTGCCAGCTTCCAGAACGGTGACAGCAGAGCACACACCTGGTCAGGCCACCCCTCCCAATTCCAGAGGCCCCTCTCGCTTACAGAGTGGAGCCCTGGGTTCATTCAGCCGGTGAGCTCCCCTCCCCCATCTTTGCTGCTCCTCCCACATCACTCTGCTGAAGACCAGTAGGCCTGCTCTAGGCTCTTCAAATATGCCAAACTGGTCTGTGCCCCACAGCTTTCTGACATGCTTCTGTCAGAACAGTTTGCACGGGGCTGGTTCCAACTCAACTCCCAGGTTCCAGATCATCTGCCTCCTCCCAGGTTCCAGATCATCTGCCTCCTCCCAGGTTCTAGATCATCTGCCTCCTCCCAGGTTCTAGATCATCTGCCTCCTCCCAGGTTCCAGATCATCTGCCTCCTCCCAGGTTCTAGATCATCTGCCTCCTCCCAGGTTCTAGATCATCTGCCTCCTCCCAGGTTCTAGATCATCTGCCTCCTCCCAGGTTCTAGATCATCTGCCTCCTCCCAGGTTCTAAGCTCACATGTCACCACTCAGGTTCCAGATCATCTGCCTCCTCCCAGGTTCTAAGCTCACACGTCACCACCCAGGTTCTAGATCATCTGTCTCCACCCAGGTTCTAGCTTACATGTCACCTCTCTACTTAAATACCATCGGAGAAACCCTCTTTATCCCCAGACTAAGTCCAGATACAGCCTTCTCCTCCTTTCAAGTGATTGGTGGGGACAGAGAGAGAGAGAGAGAGAGAGAGAGAGAGAGTGTGTGTGTGTGTGTGTGTGTGTTACTGTGCTCCCTGCTGCCCTCTAGTGCCTGGCACAGAGAGCTGGAGGTGACTGCTGGAACAATGGAAATTCACTGGGTATCAGCTCTCTGGGTTCTGAGCTCACCCTGTGAGGGAGACCTGGGGATATGACTCAGCCCCACCCTTCCGTCCCACAGGGAGCTGGATAGCCTCGTCCAGTCCTCGCAATACTGCAAGGGAGAGAGCCATAGTCACTTTGAAGGAGGGGTGAAGCTTGGTGTAGGAGCCTTCAACCTGGTGAGTGGGAACCCCTCATTTCTTTAGTGCCTGGGCCAGATGCAGCTCCCCTACATGGCCTTGTCTCACACAAGGTTAGCCATTTGTGCCACTGTGCCTGGCTGTGTGCTAGGCATGGGACCTAGAAATGATTCTTAAATATTACCAGGGTTTCAAACTGGGGTGTCATAGAGGGTGACATCTCTAGAGAGTCTAAGTGTGTATCGGTGTGCCTACTTGGCAGCTTGAACCCCCGAGTGGGGTAACTATAGCTATAGACATTGGCAACCCAGAAACTCAGACTGCTTCTGCCCCGGACGGGTAGCTGTTAAACATTACCAGGGGTCAGAACAGAGAGACCTGAAAACAGCTGTAACCCACAGGGGACAGGGATCTAAGTTCTCTTTGGGGCCACTGGAGAGAGCTCTAGGGGAGGGAGATGAGCTTTGAGCTGACTCTTAGATCCTCCCAGAGTTCCAGGCAGGGAAGGGTGTTCCAGGCAGAGGAAGCAGCAGGGGCTGTTTTGGAGCTACATGGAAATGCTGAGCCTGCTGTGGAGAAAGGAGCTGGTCCTGGGAGATGGTACAAAGGCTGGTACAGGTCTGGGAGAGGTGGCCAGTCTGTTGCCTGGGTAACGGGCAGGTCATGGGTGGGGCCCTCTGACTTTCCCTAGGCTGCCCTCCACACACCCACTGCCTCTGATCCCACAGACGCTGTCCATGCTTCCCACCAGGATCCTGAGGCTGCTGGAGTTCGTTGGGTTTTCAGGAAACAAGGTAACTACCAGCCTTTGGGTGCCCTCTGTCCGCCCAGTCCAGGGCTGGAGCTGGGCTTGACATAGTGGGGCTGAGGGACCATGGGGCCTGGTGCCAATCCTGGCTTAGCTCCCTCTGTGTGTGACCCTGGGGAGAGTCTAGACCTCTCTGAGCCTCAGCCTTTCCTCAGGATTTCTGAGGCCACAGATCTCTCCCAGTCCCGCACAGGATAGAGGGTAGATGTGAGGACAGCCCTGGAGGGATCAGAGGCCACACCATCCCGTCCTTCCGTGACTTGTATCAGGATCCTGGTCTTCTCCCCCACTTGATCACCTGCTCACTTCAAGGCCTTGAGCCAGTCCTTTCGTCCAGGGTCATCTTTTGGTGCCCCTATTTCATCTGTGAGTGTTCAGAGAGCCCTGTACATCAGACCTTGAGAGGAACCAGGGGACTCACTGAGGCCGAGGCCTTGCACTCCAGGTCACCAGTGCAGTAGAAGGAACACTGTCCAGGAAGACATAAAACAACCCCACCTCCTTCCCTCCTCCCTGTGGCCCTAGACAATTAATTCCCTTTCTCCCATGAGTCCCCTTTCTGTGAACATAAGAGGCTTCACCTTGTCCTGATGTGTGTGTCCTCTGTGGCCCTCCCTGATACCCGACATTTATATGAACCACTGCTTTTTGGTTTACCTGTTATTTCTCCCAAAATGACATCATTTTTATTTTTTTAAGATTTATTTATTTATATGTATGTAGTGTTCTGCCTGCGTGTATGCCAGTAGAGGGCACCAGATCTCATTCTAGGTGGTTGTGAGCCACCATGTATGTAGTTGCTGCGAATTGAACTCAGGACCTCTGGAAGAGCAGCCAGTGCTCCCAACCTCTAAGCCATCTCTCCAGCCCAATGACATCATTTTAAAAAGGAAATGTTATTACACAAAATCCATCTTTGGCTTTGTTTGTTTGTTTTTTTAAGACAGGGTTTCTCTATGTAGCCCTGGCTGTCCTGGAACTAGCTCTGTAGACCAGGCTGGCCTCAGACTCACAGAGATCCACCTGCCTCTGCCTCCCGAGTGCTGGGATCAAAGGCGTGCGCCACTGCTGTCCGTCAAATCTATCTTTGTTAATCATGAAAAAAGCATTAAGAGTGCTATAGAGAGCCAGGCGTGATGGTCCTCAGCACTCAGGGTGCGGAGGCAGGAGGCAGAGGCAGGAGGATCTCTGAGTTCCAAGCCTGGTCTATATGGTGGGTTTTAGGACAGTTAGCGATACATGGCGAGACCCTGTCTCAGCAAACAAACCTAGAGAGAGTCACATAAGTCATCAGAAATAGAGGAGGGGTTGGGCCACGGCTGAGTGTGCGGCTTCCCTTTGTGGGTGAAGGCTGAGGTGTGTGGGGGCTTTCCCAGGGTATCACCAAAAGGACGGAGCACAAAGGAGGGAAACAGGCCACAAGGCTCAGGGCCGCATAAGGCCCACGCTTGGCCCTGGGACGTCCCCTGTCTGGGGTCCACAGCTGGCGGCTCCAGGGGCTGGTGGGTTGGTGTTCTCAGGAAGGAAGGCTGAGGTAGGAAGGTCCACCTTCACCCGCAGCTGCAGCTTGGGTGGAGCCTGCTCCAAACCAGGGCAGCTGTGGAGGGTTTGAGGCACGCCAGGCCTGTATTTGAGAAAGGGCATGGATAACTGAGGAAGGTAGACGGGAGCAGAGACTACACACACAGGTTGGTGCTGGTCCCAGTGAGGTTCTGGAACCTTCTTCCCCCAGGAAGCTTTTCTGGGCCCCAGGCTTCTCGGCACTATCCGCACCAACTTGCAGTTAGGGTCATTGTTGTCAGGTCGTTCATCTTCCCAAGCAGACTGCACTGTTGGCTTTCATGCCCTTGACAGGGTCAAGAGTAGGTGCAGATGGAGAGATTGGGGGAGGGCAGCCCTTGACTCAGGGTCACCATTCTGGTGCCACCGCTCCTGGCTCCGGAGAACAGACTCTCTCACAACTGCAGAGACTTGCTCATAACTGCCCACCTGGACCCCGTGACTCTCTGGGAACCCCAGCCTGTCTTTTTGCCCCCCCCCCCCCCAGGACTACGGGCTGCTGCAGCTGGAGGAGGGCGCGACAGGGCACAGCTTCCGCGCAGTGCTGTGTGTCATGCTCCTGCTGTGTTACCACACCTTCCTCACCTTCGTGCTCGGTAGGAGACCCGGTGCGCCCGGGTGGCGGGCTCCTGGGTGCGAGAAAGGCTGACCCTGCTCAGGCACCCAGGACTGGGCAGAACCAGGTCCACTGGGCCTGCTGCTCCTGGCCTGTCTGCGCAGGTTCCCTCTGTGAAATGAGGGTGATTGTGCCACCTTGTGGAAGGTGTGAAGATGACAGCTGTGGACTCAGAAATGGCCCCCAGGTTATAGTGAGCCTGTGATGTCCCTGGACAGTCACCCTGTTACCCTGTCACCCTGGAGATAGGGAGAATCGTGCCATTTCTCAGAGGGAAGACGGAGGCCCCAAGAAGGCCATGGCAGGTTGCTAGGAGGAGCGCAGGCCCCCGCAGTGGGAACCTGAGCAGCGCATCTCCCTGCCACCCGCAGGTACTGGAAATGTCAACATCGAGGAAGCAGAGAAGCTATTGAAGCCCTACCTGAACCGATACCCCAAGGTGAGACCAACCTCCGCTGGTCACCCCATCCCACCTGTACCCGGTGGACACTCCATCCTCACGACTGTCATTGCAGGGTGCCATCTTCCTGTTCTTTGCCGGGCGGATTGAAGCTATCAAAGGAAATATTGATGCTGTGAGTGATGTGGAGGTCTCCTGGGATGTCCCAGCCCAGCGAGAAGTTAGACACATAGGAGCATTCTTGGGGGTAGGGGGACCCCATGAAAGAGCAGGGCTGGGAGGAGCACTCCTGACTGGGGTGGTCTGGGGAGATGGAGGGGGTGGCGTTGGTGCTGTAGGCTTTTGATAGAGAGGTGCGGGCTTGTGGCATTCCTAGTCAGGAAAAGCTGCCTGGGGCATGGTGACTAGGCTGGATGAGGTGAATGTGGGTGAGGGTAGTGATGTCGGAGGGGAAAGAACCACAGAAGACACCAGACAGGGAAGTCACAGTCAGGGCCAAGTCCAGGGCACTACGCCAATGCGGAAGACTACATTGTAGGGTCTTGGAAGCCTCCTGCTAGTCCTGCTGGGGTAAATCCCCAGGTGGGGGTAACCATGGAAACCACTAGAGTCTTGGGCGTTTTCTATGAAGGAACAGACTACTATATCAGTATAATATTGACACTCTCTGGGGCTGGGTAGATGGCACAGTAAGAGGCGACCTGAGTTTAGTCCCCAGCACCCATGTGAAAAAGTCAGACATGGTGACCTGTGCTTATAATCCCAGTCCTGGGGAGGGGGGTGGGGGAAGCAATGGATCCCTGAGGTTTGCTAGCCAGCCAGCTTAGCATAATTGGGGGGCCCCAGGTTCCAGAGAAACCCTAAGATGACAGCTCCTGAGGAAAGACACGAGGTTGACCCTTGGCCGCCTCTACATCCATCGACATAAGCACACCAATGCCAACACTGCAGTATTAACACCTTGTGTACCCTGCCCTATCCGCCCCACCCCCCGCCCCCCAACACACACCAATGCCAACATTGCAGTATTAACACCTTGTGCGCCCTGCCCTATCCGCCCCCCCCCGCCCCCCAACACACACCAATGCCAACATTGCAGTATTAACACCTTGTGCGCCCTGCCCTATCCGCCCCCCCCCGCCCCCCAACACACACCAATGCCAACATTGCAGTATTAACACCTTGTGCGCCCTGCCCTATCCGCCCCCCCCCCCCCCAACACACACCAATGGGCTCTGTCCCATGCTTTCATTCCGTGACCAAATCCCTACAGTCAGAAACCAGGACAGGAAGCTGAGGTTCCCTGGCTTCCCAGACTCCGTCTTGACCCGGCCCAGTTCAGGACCATCATGCCTTGCGGGGAGGCCTCCCGACTCTCGGTAGGCTGACCCCCAGCTGCTCACAGGCCATCCGGCGGTTCGAGGAATGTTGCGAGGCCCAGCAGCACTGGAAGCAGTTCCACCACATGTGCTACTGGGAGCTTATGTGGTGCTTCACCTACAAGGGCCAGTGGAAGATGGCCTACTTCTACGCCGACCTGCTGAGCAAGGAGAACTCCTGGTCCAAGGTGGGCTGACACTGTGGGTCAGGGCGTTGGGTGGCCAGGGGTCCCTCAGATGGGCCAGATCCCCGACCGAGCATGGATGTGTCTGCTGGGTTCTAAATGGAACCAAATGTTTGAGGAGGACTCAGGGTTGGGAGGAGCTGAAAGCTAGGCCAAGCAGAGAGGCTGACTGGGTGCTGGGCACTGAATCCGGGCCCTGTCCATCATTCTAAGCATCCTCCTTGTCACCAAGCTACTCTGTCCCTTCAACTCTCCTGTGTCCGTATAGCTGTGTGGTCACCTGTCTAAGCACGTACTGTCCAACAGAATTGCCCACTACGGCAGGGATTTTTTTCTTTGGCACCACCAAGCATGCCAGCCACAAAGACACATGGAAGGTGTCCAGCACAGCCGAGACACTGAATGGTTACATTTTATTTATGTTTAATCACATAGCCCCAGTGGGTCTGGTGGTCGCTGGAATCAAACAGATCTAAAATACCAGCGGCTTGTATAATTCAAGTAACTGGGCCTCACCCTACGCCAGGGATTCAAACTGTATCATCCGGCTTAGCCACCCCACCTGCAGTTGGGTTCTCTCCTCTGACAGCTGTGTTTCAGGCAGCTTCTCTTCACACTACAGGCAAGGTGGCCGGGGGCTGCCCCCAAATTACATCTCCCTCTTAGTTTCCACCAGAGCCCGTCGTTAAGCCTCATAGATCTGGGTCAGCATCTGGAGCGGGGGGGGGGGGGGGGGGGGGGGGGGGGGGAGAAGGTTCCCTCCCAGAGAGTAGGAGGGAGAAGTGTGTTTTCAGAAGAAGAATGAGGCGGTGTGACTGGAAGGGGTGAGAGAAAAAGGTGGGGAGGAAGTTATAATATTACAGATCTGCCACGGAGGCAAAATAAAACAAACAAGGCATCTATCCGCCCAACACAGACAGCCAGACTTAGAGTCAGTGCAGACAGTGCCAGCGCTGTGCCTGTAACAGTGAGGGCAGTGCAGAGCTCTGAAGTGAGTGTCTGCCGTGTCCCTCCTGCTACATAGCACACCTACCCCCGCGACTTTATCCCTTGTCCATAGCAGACATTGCTAATCAACCCTAGCATCCTCCAGGATCTTTGAAGCCACTTGAACTGCAGGTGGTTGTTAGAGCAGCTCTGCCCTGACACACATCATGAGACCCAGTGGTCACCTGCATCTCCTCTCTCTCTCACTCTGCCTGTGCATGCTTGTGGCTCTTCTGGGCTTTACTGGGCACTGAGACCAAGCTGAAGTGAAATCCTGGGGCTGACGGAGCTCTGAGGAAGCAGGTTCCCCAGTAATCCCTGTGTCTCTAGCGTTTGTCTTCCTTTTTCACCATACCCCCTAAGGTAGAAGGGACCAACTCTGTTGTTGGGGTACACAGTGGATTTGGGGTCATTCACGGGGAGCTGCTTTTCTCCTAACTGCTCGCTTCCTTCTGAGCAGAGGGTTTTCCTTGAGGCCTTCCTGCTGTTGAAGGTCCATTCTTAGGGCCTAACTCTGGGCCACATCCATTCCTCATTGTCCCCACTCCCAACAAGAACAAAGCCTTAAGGGTCCTTTCCAAATTAAATATGACTGCAGAATCTTTCCTGTGGCATGAGGCAGGCAACAGGGTCCACCCACACGGGGACAGGGAGGCCTGGTGAGGCCACACAGCCACAGTGAGGGCAGGCCAGACTTCCCAGGCATGACAAGTCTGCTGTGAGGAACACCTACCTCTCTGTCTGACTTTGGGGCAGTGAGTTTTCCTCTGCCTGCAGTTCCCTTCCTCAGATAGGTTAAAAAGGCATCAGTTTCGGGGCCTGATCCCTTCCTGCTCTCCAGCACCAGATCGCCACGGCATCCATCAGCTTCCAACTCTAGGGATTGATTTGCCTGTGGACGTTGCCGTATATGCCACCTCCTATACTCAGCTCCTCCTCTGCTGGGATCACTGAAAGTCCACCCTGCAGAGACCTTGAGTTTGCCCAGAGCTTGCAGCCTAGGGCTAAGATGGTAGCAATCTGGTGTGGCACAGCTTAGTCCTCGGAAGGCAGAGGCAGGGGGCCCAGGAGTCCTGGAAGAACCACCAAGGCGAAAAAGGGCTGATTCAGGAAGGCAAAACCTCTGGGCTGAGTCAGGGAGGAGGATTTAGGGACAAGAGAAAGGGAGAGGGCAAACCCAGAGCAAGAAACAAGGGCTGGGGGTGAGGGCACTGCCAGGGTTCTGTGTTCACTGGGGGGGGGCGGGGGTTTTGCTGTGGGAGCGGCGAGGGGTGCTGGAGGCGTGATCCTCCCTCCGCTGGCAGCTGCTGGAGGCTCAAAAATGGGCACTGTCTGCCTGGCACAGCCTTGGTTTCCTCCTCCAGTGAGGGAAACATTTGTGGAATTAGAGGTAAACAGCTGACCCCGGGGAGAAGGGACTCACATCAGGAAGGTGACCGTGCCCCCACCATGTCCTTGGATGACTTGCTATGCACACGTCACTGTATACCCCAGCCTGACTGCTGGTCTACAGCGAGGGTGAGGGAGCTCTTTCCTCTAAGAAAATGTTTCCACAGGCAAAGGCCCCGGAGGGCTGTAGCGGAATGGAGAAGAAACAGTATTAGGTGATCCTGCAGAGGTGTCTGGGGTCGGTCATGGAAAGTCTGAGGGAGTCCTTGAGCTATAACTGTCTGGCATATAGGGCCTTGAATGTCCGTGCTTGCTGAGCACTCTTGGTGCCAGGCCCTAGCCTAGGCCCTGGATCCAGAGAGGACAAAGCAAAGACCCCACTGAAGGCTCATCCTCTAGAGACATGAAGCACACAGATGTTTCGTGTTGGCTTCCAGTGGATAGAAGTCCTCTGTCAGAGACAATGCTGGTGTGCAGTCAAGGCTGGGTCACGTGTGTCTTGAAGGAGGACTGCTCAGGCTGCAGTGGGCTGCAGGACGGAGCCCCTCTGGTCTGGGGCAGAGCGATGGCTGGGTTAAAGTCTTGTCCAGCATCCTTGGTTAGCGCCTCCTATGGCTCAGCGGTTTCCATCTGTGTCTGTCCCCTTGTCCCCTCACATGACCTATGGGCTGTGTGTTCCCCCTGAATATATGAGGCACATATTAGTTATCTTCCATATACAACAGTTATTGCTCAATAGCTCATTTGTGTTTGTGTGTCAGAGCACATATTAGGGAGGCCAGATGTTGGTTCCCAGATGTCATTCTCTATCGCCTTACACCTTATCTTTTGAGTTGATGTCTGTCCACTGAACATGAACCTTACCATTTCGGCTGGGTGGGCTGGCCAGTAGGCTCTAGGGATCTTCTTGTGTCTGCCCTGTGCCCTCCGCCACACTTCCCATCCCAGACACCTGGGTTTATGTGAGTACTGGGATTTGAACTCAGGACCTCAGACTTCTGCAGCTAGCACTTTACCCACTGAGCCTTCTTCAGCCCTATTTCTCTTTCTTTTTTTTTCTTGTTTTGTTTTGAGATGGGGTCTCTGTCTTGGCTAGTTTTTATGTCAACTTGACCTAAGTTAGTGTCATCTGAGAGGAGGGAACTTCAATTGAGAAAATGCCTCCATAAGATCAGGCTGTAGGCAAGCCTGTAGGGCATTTTTTTTAAATTAGTGATTGATGTGGGAGGGCCCAGCCCCTTGTTAGTGGTGCCACCCTAGGTTGGTGGTTCTGGAGAGTAAGTAGTGATGTTCAAGCCAGTAAGCAGCACCTCTCCATGGTCTCTATTAGCTCCTGCTGCCAGGCTCCTGCCCTGTTTGAGTTCCTGCCCTTGTTGCTGTGATGAAGTGTTATATGGAAGTGTGGGTGAAATAAACCCTTTCCTCCCCAAATTGCTTTTGGTCACAGTGTTTCATCACAGCAGTAGTAACCCTACAAATTGGTATCAGGATCATGGGGTATTGCTATGACAGACCTGACCATGCTTTTGAGAGAATTGTGGAAGGACTTTGGAATTTGGGGCTAGAAAAGCCACTGAATGTTCAAAGCTTGGTGAGCTGTTCTGTGGGCACCAGGAAGGTAAGAATTTAGAGTAATGTAGACGATGGAGGCCTGGTTTATGAAGTTCCAAAGAGAAGTTTAAGGCCACTTAAAGACTATTAGGACCATCTGTTGAGTCAAGAATCTGTGGTTCTGGTTAGCTGGGGCCAGAGAATCAGTGATGATGAGTAAGACCAGAATCCCTGAAGGGAAACCTTCGCCTTACCGTGATTAAGAAAAGACAGCATCCGTGAGGTGAAGCCTTCTGGGAAGTGTTTCTTCACAGTCAGCACACACGGGCTGTGCTCCAGAGGCCACCAAGTTTGTCCCTTGCAGCTGAACTTGATAATGTGTAGGTCACCAGATGGTACTGGGTTGGAAGGCACGAGGGAGTCACGAACAGCAGCTGGGGCTTGACACTGAGAGGCCAGGATAGACCACTGGAGAGTGAGGCCTTGGTAGCCGTTGAAGCTTACTCCTTTAGATGTGTGCTCAGGGGTGTATCACTCAATCATATCATCTCTGAAGGATAACCATACCGATTTCCACACTGCTTTGCACCAATTTACACTCTTACCAGCCGTCTGCAGGGGCTCCTCTTCCCCACATTCTCTCCAGCATTTGTTGTCATTGCGTTTCTTGAATGTAGCTTTGATTTGCATTTCCATTATGGCAAAGGATATTGAACATTTTCCCATTTATTTATTGTCTATTTGTACCTCTCTTTTTCAAGACTTATTTAAGTACAGTGTTCTGCCTGTGTGCTTGCCTGCAGGCCAGAAGAGGGCACCAGATCTCATTCTAGATGGTTGTGAGCCACCGTGTGGTTACTGGGAATTGAACTCAGGACCTCTGGAAGAACAGCCAGTGCTCTTAACCTCTGAGCCATCTCTCCAGCCCCTGTACCTCTTGTTTTGAGAACTGTTTTGTATTTTGTTAATTATTATTGTGTGTGATTGTGGGTGTGTGTGCCAGGATATATGCGGTCAGAGGACAACTAGTGGAATCTGTTCCCTGTTTTATCCTTGTGTGGGTTCCTGGGTTGAACTCGGGTTGTCACATTTGTGAAGCAACCACTCTACCATCTAGAATGACCCTGTGTTTTTACTTCTTTTTACTGTGTGTGTGTGTGTGTGTGTGTGTGTGTAAGGTCTCACTTAGTTCAGGCCTCAAACTTACAGTGAAGGGAAGGATGAACTTGAACTTATGATGTACTTGCCCACCATGTCAGAAACATGCATCACCTAACTTTTTTTTTTTTTTTTTTGAGACAGGGCTTCTCAGTATAGCTCTAGCTGTCCTGGAAATCTTGAATGGCCTCAAACTCAGAGATGGCCTACCTCTGCCTCCTGGGTGCTGGGATTAAAGATGTGCACCACCACCACCCAGTGAGACAAACCTTTTTAAGTTTTTTTCCCCAGACATCACAAGGTTTTTCACCTGGTTATTTCATAAGGAGAGAACTTCTGTCAGCTTTAAATTCTTAGCTCAAAACCCTGAGTAAGCTGTATTTGGGGCTGCACCCCAGTGAGAAAGCTGTGGACTCTCCAGACACTGGCTAGACTGGTACATATGTACCACCACCATTTCTTTATTAGATTCAGACGCTATCTCAGGTATTCAATCTAAAAGGAAAAGGTTAGACAAGAGGGACCGTCCCTGGAATGTCAGGGGCAGATGGAGGACCAGTGACACGTTCAAGGTTCCATAAGGAGACTCCATTATACACCCACAAAGACCAGCTTGGATGCCGGTTGAAGGGTTGGTCACCTCTGTGTTCCAGCAAGGATGGTGCGGGAGGAGATTCCAGGATTCCCTCTCCTTCTCCATGCACTACTCGGCCTTTGGCAAGTATTTTCCTTGGCAGTCGCCCTAGGAGGCAGGTTTTTCCAAACTTAGCCACTTGAGGGCAGCACAAAACCGAACGCCTCTAACCCTCACCCCAGAGCCTTGCTTGTGCTGCTGTGTGCAGATGCCTGCAGTTCAAGCAGAGCTCCCCACGTCCCATCAGGTGGCCTTTGGATCTAGCAGGCAGGGTCCTTCTAGACACTTTCTTTGGGCTGGATTGAGGGGAAGGTGTAAAAGTGAGCAACGCAGGTCTCCCACTGAGCCCTGCCAGGGCCCTGTTCACTCTTCTGACATAGAAAGTCCCTACTGCAAGCCACCTGAGTCCCGTGCATACCACTCAGATGGGTACCTATGAGTCTGTGGATCTTCCCATCATCCTTCAAGGGCACCTGTGGTCACCACTTCCCAGCAGCACCCCTCCGTGCTCACCCCACCTCTTCCCTGTCTCAACAGGCCTGCATGGGTCAGGTCTTTCTCTTGACGGAGTTAGGGGGCGAGGCACAACTCACATTTCCTCAGCTGCTTCAGCGACCTCCCCTGGGGACTTGGTGACCATACATCTCTCCTCTGGACCCCAGTGAGGGCCAGCCATGGTACTTGTGATCAGAGGGAGGGTTGCTTTATCTTCCTGCTGCTGTCTCCCACAGGCCACCTACATCTACATGAAGGCTGCGTACCTCAGCATGTTTGGGAAGGAAGACTACAAGCCATTCGGGGATGACGAGGTGGAGTTATTCAGGTCGGCCCCACCACGGTGCTCCTGTTGCAGGCCTTCCTGTTAGCAGATCAGTCAGGTTCTGTAGTGATAGGAGAGGCACTCCCAGCTCGGTGCCCTGTGCCCTTACTCCTCTCCAGCTACCACTCCATGCCAGTGTCGCTGCTGGTTAGAACCCTGTGAATGTGTTTTGTCAGAAGCTTCTAGCACTCATCTCTCTCATCTGGTCACTAGGACAGATGGGGACACTTCCCTTCCGATGCCTGAGGAAATATCACGACCAAGGTCACTTATGGAAGGAAGTTTATTTTGGCTTATGGCTCCAGAGGGTGAGTCCACTGTGGCAGGGGTGAGGTGTGAGGTGCACAGGGGAGAGTGGCAGGGTGACAAGCGCCAGGCATGGTACTGCAAGAGCAAAGCTGCAGGTAGAGTGAAGCCTGCGCCCCGTGACATGCTTCGTCCAGCACGGTCACACCTCCTAAACCTCCCCCAAAACAGCACCAACTGGGAACCAGGAGCTCAAATGCCTGAGCCCATGCGGGACATTCTCATAAAAGCCCGCAGACTGAGGTCCGGAGAGTTAGCTAGAGCCCCAGAAGCACAGCCCAGAACTAAATCTACTCCCCAGCTGGGACACCTTGGACAATTCCTAGGATAGGGAGAACAAACTATAGTTTTCAGTTGGGAATGTATCTGAAGATCCCGGAGTAGAACTTGGGGCCTACAGGGCTGTCCCCAGAGTGCTGCTATTCTCATTGCTCTCTGTATCACTTACTTGCCTTTTGTGAAGAGTCAATGTTAGCTAGCCAGCCTGGAGTTGGAGGAAGGAGTCTAGAGCCTTGCTCCATGAATATGAGGCAGACCTTGGTTAGTGCTGGGGAGCACTTACCTGCAGAGTGCCTGCTGCAGCGCAGCGAACTCTGTGGTCCCAGCTCACAGAATTCCCCCAGAAAGCTTGAGAGGTGGTATGAGCTACGCGTCTGAGATTGGAAAACAGACCCAGAGAGGTTCTGCAATAAATAAGCAGCAAGGAATCTGGGGTGGCCTCACCCATCCAGTTGTTTCCTGAGCCCACACGGCTCCTGGTCTGAGATCCCAGCCACACCCAGTGGCCAGGCAGCTGGTCGTGGGTGAGGCTCCAGCCGAGGCATGCCTAGCTGTGTGCATTTTATTCTATCCTTGAAACAGCTGAGGCCCTATCTCAGGAGGCTGGAGCTAATTAAGGGTTTGAGCTGTTTGTGCAGGTCCCTCCCTTTCCCCGGGTGTTGGTCTTGCCTGTGAAACTGGGATTAGACTTTTGTGGACCCTCCCAGGAAGGCCTGGGCGTCGAGGGGAGATAAGTAGGAGGCAGGCCTGAGGGATATCTAGGCACATTTTCACACTGCCAGCTCTGGAGCCTTTGCAAGCAAACAGGCCATGCAGAGATTGTGAAATGAGACCATAACCATAGGCTGGCTCACACCTTGAAATGCTTTTTGGTTAAATTCCCTCACCACACCGTGTGGAAACTGAGGCTCGAGACCTGCACCGTTCTCCCTATACTCCTGCTCCTGTTGCTGCTGGAGAACTGAACATGTCTGCTGAGCCAAACCCTTAGCCTTTCTTTCCCCGTTTCTTTTTCAGGGCTGTGCCAGGCTTGAAGCTCAAGATTGCTGGGAAATCTCTACCCACCGAGAAGTTTGCCATCCGGAAGTCCAGACGCTACCTCTCTCCCAACCCCATCTCGTTGCCGATCCCTGCTCTGGTGAGTAGGAAGGACAACCTCTGGGGCAGGTGGATGAATGGACTGGAGAGGGTTTCACAAGTCACCAGGGTGGGAAGACATGTCAGCAGGCTGCAGATGCCTCGAGGCAGGAAGAACCACTTTCCTAGGTACTAGACAAACACTCCAGCCCCAAGCATCAGCCAAGGATCACCTGACTGTCTTGTTCCTAGGACGACGGTTCTGCTGCGACAGGATTCTAATCACTATTTACTGTAGCCTTCATTAGATCAACCTTTTCTGAGGCAAGGGTAGCATTTCAGCCAGTTATGTTTGACTGAAGAAAGCCTGCATGGCAGGGGGCAGGGGGTGTAAGGCTTAAAGCAGGTCAGTAGAGAGAAGGCTAAACTTGTCTAGCCCACACAGGTGGAGCCTCAAGATTAGAACTCAGGGCCACTGTTAGGCTAATTCCACGCATAGTTGGAGCTGGCAATCAGATAAGCTGAGTCTAGAAGAGTAGAGAGCCCTCTCTGCTTGCTGGACAAACTGTAGACCCAGCTCCCCCGGGCAATGGTGGCAAAGGCTTAGGGGCCTTCTACTGTGAAAAAGCGTCTCCATTGGCACCTGGCCCAGCTCTTGCAGAGGTGTGAAAATCCACTGGTGACTTGTGTAAATACTTCCTAAGCTGACCTTTTCCTACTTGTTCTATTTAGAACGTGTAAGTGTATCCTCGAAGTTCTGAAGTATTTTACAGAGTGACTACGGTAGCACACACTGTAAGCCCAGCATTTGGAAAGTGCAGGCGGGAGGGTTAGCAACCTACATAGTGAGTTCAAGGCCAGCTTGGGATACATGAGACCCTGTCTCAAAAAAAAATTAGTTTAAAATGTACAATAAAGTTATTACTATTGAATGAGGAAGAGGGTATTATGGGAAGGACAGATGTGACTTAACCCACAATTTAAATGCTACTTCTGTAGAAAGTGGTCCATGATTGAGTACACTGGGAGGGACAGGCCCAAACCAGGATATAGACTGCTGATTTTTCCTAGAGACCACAGAGCAACTTAAAGAACACTGACCTAAATGTGCACTGTAACAAGAATCTGTGTAACCATTTTATATAAATGCATTCCTATCCATGACCTGGCTTGATGACTTAGGAAATGTGACTCTAACAGGAAACTCAGATA